GATCTTTGCTGTGGAGGGACGGCGTGGTGCTTCTGCCTAGAGCACCATTTTGCCGGAACTCCTCTTGGGTGTAACTCTTGAGAGGGTCATACAATCATAGTCTCGTGCCACCCACACTTACGAGTACTTTACAAGTCCAGTGGAGAAGGATATATTTAGGGAGGAGACATCAATTTCATGGGAAATAAATACAGTAGAGCATACTTTGAAAGTGTGACTCACACTATAAAAATGATCTCTCACCAAGAGGATTCTGGGATATACTACCAAAAACCAGAAAATTCCTTTTTTTTCTGGCCTAGGATAGTTTATGATAAAGTTTAAGGCATGTGAACAGGCCAGAGTAGACACACAGAACATATGGGGCAGACAGACATCTTTTAGGGTAACAGTCACATCTGCATCTCTATGGCCAGTTGACTAAGTCAGTTTTACAGAACTATTGGAAATTGAGTGAACTCCTTATATTGGATTCTATTGGAGGAAAAAGAGTCAAAACAGGGCTTTGGATGGAAGCCTACAATGTAGCACGTAATGCCCATGGCACCAAAGATGCTTGGACAAATTACAGTAGAGCTGGAAGTAACCTCAGAGCTGTGTTCCAGCCCAACCCACTCATGTTACAGTTAAAGACACTGAGAGCCAGATGTAAAGCAATGTGCCCAAGTTCACACAGTACTGAGAAGCCATGTTCGGGAGACCTTGGTCTCCTGACACCCTGGCCTGTGTTTCCCATTAGACTGGACTCAGCTGAGATTGATGAATGAAGTGGACAGAGAGGCAACCTGAACGTACCATCCAAAATACCATGAAGCCTCAACTCTCACCACCTCTTCTGCCCAGGCTATTCGGCCTATCACAGGTACTTTGATATTCCAGATTTTACACTTGGTAAATTAAGGATGAAGAGAAACCAATTTTTAAACTAACACCTTTATACTCAAATTCAACATTTACTGAATGTCCATTCTAAGTCAGGTATTGTCCTGGGTCACAGGAAGCACAGAGGAACAAGACAGTTATTACGTGTCACGCATGGTTCAACAACTACACAGTCTGCCCTTATCATGTTAGTAGGATGGAGCGGGGAGGTACATTTTGAGCAATAATGATAAACGGATTTGATTACTTCAGCCTGGTTCCTGGTGAGTACTAATCCACATCACAAAGGTCCAACAGTTTTAGCTCACCTCAAACCAAGAAGGGCATAAATGGCCAAGATCACAGCACCAATATAAGGAATGAACTCTGATAATTTCAGCAGCAGGAAATTTCCCTTGAGAGCCCTTGGGGAGACAGAATAGGTTTGGGGACAGAAGGGATACCTGATGTGACACCGAAGGTATCACTTCCATATCTGGCCAAAACCCACTGGAGACATGAGCTCCAAGAAAGCACATTTCACTTTTTCAAACGTTTCAACTTCAGGGCAATTTAAAAAGCAAGAGACAGCTGTGCTGGATGAGGACCCACGGTGGGTCCATCTTATTCCTACCTCCCAGGGACCAGCAAGTTTGAGTGGTATCTCCAATCCCAGCTTCTCCAGCTCTCGCTCCCTGTACTTTGCATACTGCCGGTACCCCGCATACCCGCCGCCTGTTGCCAACAGAATGGGCAGGGGGCGCAGCAGGTACAAGGCTCGGGCAGGGGCAGTGTGGATTTTTCTGGCATCTGTAATAAAAAACAGGAACATTTTGAGCCTGGGGGTACAGGTGTAGAGAAGTCATGCAAACACGGCACAACAGGAAGGTCAGGAAAAGCTAATACATCTCAGGAGTCCTCAGTAAAGGTGGCCGGACCCTGAAGGGACTTGTTAACAAGGCAGGTGCAGCCTTCTGAGGCATTACTAAGACCCTTCCATCTCCAAATTCTATCAATAAATAAGAACAGGCATCTTTTCTTTTCTTTTCTTTTTTATTGTGCTTTAAGTGAAAGTTTACAATTCAAGTTAGTTTCCCATACAAAAACTTATACACACATTGTTATGTGACCCTAGTTACTCCTCTATACTGTGACAGCACACTCCTCTTTTCCACCCTGGATTTCCCATGTCCATTCAACCACTCCTGTCCATTTTTGCCTTCTCATCTCGCCTCCGGACAGGGGCTGCCCGTTTAGTCTCATGTATCTCTTCACGAGTATCATTTTATACCTTATAGTCCAGTCTAATCTTTGTCTGAAGAGTTGGTCTTGGGAATGGTTTTAGTTTTGGGCTAACAGAGAGTCCAGGGGCCATATATTCCGGGGTCTCCAGTCTCAATCAGACCACTAAGTCTGGTCTTTTTACTAGAATCTGAGTTCTGCACCCTACTTTTCTCCTGCTCCATCAGGGACTCTCTGTTGTGTTCCCTGTCAGGGCGGCCATTAGTGATAGCCCGGTACCAACTAGCTCTTTTGATCTCAGGCTGATGGAGTCTCTGGTTTACGTGGAGGACAGGCATCTTTTCTGTGGAAAGAAAAGATGCACCTCAATTGCCACCATAGTTTCAGCAACAGAATTTAAGATGAAAACACTGAATCCCAATGAGGGTAATAAACTAGTCAAGGTTGCCCAGTTGGCCACCAACAGAGTCAAGACTTAGCACCAGGTACCATTTCTCACCAGGGCTCTCTAATCTTGCTTTTACAATCCAGGCCCGATTATGATTGGGCCCTAATGTTCCCAAATGCAAAATCTCATAAACTCTTAAAACAACAATAAAAAGACAAATAAAACAATTTAAAAATGGACAAAGGATTCTAATAGACATTAGATATACAAATGGCCAACAAGCACATGAAAAGCTGCTCGACATCATTAGTCATTAGGGAAATTCAAATTGAAACCAATAACAAGTATTGGCAAGGATGTGGAGAAATTGGAACCCTTGTCCACTGCTAGTGAGAATGTAAACTGTAAAGTCTCTTTGGAAAATAGTGTGACAGTTCTTCAGAAAGTTAAACATACAGCTACCATGATCAGCAATTCAATCCTAGGTATACACCCAAGAGAAATGGAACAAATATCCACACAAAAACTTGTGCACAAATATTCACAGCAGCATCATTCATAATAGCCAAAAACTGAAAACAACACAAATGTCCATCAACTTATCAATAAACAAAATGTGGTATTTCCATACAATGGAATAGTATTTCACAATAAAAAGGAATGACATGCTGATATATGCTACAATACAAACCTTCAAAACATTATGTGAAAGAACCCAGTCACAAAAAACCACATATTGTGTAATTCCATTAATACAAAGTGTCCAGAATAAGTAAATCTATAGAGACACAAAGTAGATTAGTGGTTGCCAGACTTTGGGAGACAGAAATATGGGGAGTGACTACTAACGGGAAAAGTTTTTTTGGGGAGTGATAAAAGTATTCTAAAATGAGATAATGGTGATGGTTGCACACCTCTGTGAACATACAGAAAATCACTGAATTACACCGTTTAATGCAAGGGTGAACTTTATGCTATGTGAATTATATCTCAATAAAGCTGCTATTTAAAAAAAAAAAACTCGGAGGCGGGGCCAAGATGGCAGAGCAGTCAGATGCTTCCTGTGGTCCCTCTTACAACAAAAACTCAAAAATACAAGTGAATCGATTATATATGACAATCTAGGAGCACTGAACATCAAAGGCAAAGTTGAGGAATTGGACTGAGTGGCAGGGGGAGGGAGAGACGGTTCAGAAGCAGCGAGGAGTTGCCAGACCTGACGTGGCAGGAGCCGGCGCCCTTCAGGCTGGATTGGCTCACATACGTGGTGAGGCAAGCAGTGGCACTCGGGAGGTGTTTTCCACACTGGGAGAGACCCAGTGGCAGAGAGACTACTCGGGCATCCGGAACCAGTGAAAAGCAGTGCTCAATCAGCAAAAGATAAGTACTTACGTCTGCCCTACCACGTGGATCAAAAAACACCTCCTTTGGGAGAACTCCCTCTCCCATTTACATGCCCTCTGCCCGCTCTGCACTGGGTCCTGGGCCAGCTTCAGTGATTCACTTGTCCCTTGGGCCGAAAGTAGTACTCATCACGAGCCCTGAGCCGTTCTACTGGCCTTGGAGAGGGAACAAAGTAACAAATGTGGAAAAAATAATCTGCCGGCTCGCCTAAGCCAGGAACTCAGGGTAGGCACAGCTCCTTTCCCTAGGCATAGGCATAAGGAGTCCACAGACTCTGAGTGCCTGTCACCCCTGTATAGACCGGTGTGGGCCCATTTAAACAGCACAGCCCTCATTAGCACAGTACAACAGGGTATATACCTGAAGGCTAACTTTACCTGTTTCAACTATATGGTGAAGTGGCAGGTTCATGACATTTGACACTGCTCTGCCCATTAAGAAGGGTCCTCACCTACCCACATCAGGGGCCTGAGGACTGGTGACTCCACCCAAATCACCTAACCACCTGTGACAGGGGTCCAAGAATAAGTCATGCCCCCCAGTCCTTACAGTAACAGCATTGGGTACTCATAGTCCAGCTGCAAAACCCACCCACCTATGCGCTCTAGGGAACAGGGACGTGTTTTCCTCCCAGACACTCAGGGGCAGCTGTCAGCCCCCTGCTTTGCTCAGCACGTTACTCCCTACTGCAGCCAGATACCTGCACCTATACCCATCACCATGCCTGTCTAGGACTGTAGGTGAGAGCCTGCACCACACACTTGGTGACCAACTACCTGGACACCTGAGCTAAATTTATACAAGAAAAGTAAACAGCCTCCTGGACTCACATACCTAGTAACAGCTCTAACCACCCGGTGACAGGACGTTAGAGCTTCAAAGGCGTCAATAATCACACTAGCTCACACGAGCAGCCTATCTGGGCATATCAAAACAAAACAAAACAAGAAGATTGGACACAGTAAGCAAAGATAAAATAAATCAATATAGTAACTTATTGATGGCTCGTAGACAAAAGTCAATATCAAATTACAAAAAGAGGCAGACCATGATGGGTTCAGCAAGCCCCCAAAATACAGAATCTAGAAATTTTCCAGAGGAAGAGTATTTTTTGGAATGACCGGAGGTGGAATACAAAAGATTAATATACAGAACTCTTCAAGAGATCAAGAAGGAGATCATGCAAAACACAGAACAAGCCAAGGAACACCCAGACAAAGCAACAGAGGACCTTAAGAAGGTTATTCAAGAGCATAATGACAACTTTAACAGGCTGGAAGAATTCAAAGAGAAACAGCAATCAGAAATCCAGAAGATTAACAATAAAATTTCAGAATTAGACAACTCAATAGAAAGTCACAGGAGCAGAAATGAGGTAACAGAAGTCAGAATTAGTGAGATTGAAGATAAACCACTTGACACCAACTTATTTGAGGAAAAATCAGATAAAAGAGTTTTTAACAATGAAGAAGCCCTAAGAATTATGCCCACAAAACTGTCTCTCAAACATGATGACAAAATTAGGGCATTTCCAGATAAACAGAAGTTCAGGGAACCTGCAAAAACCAAACCAAAATTACAAGAAATACGAAAGGGAATCCTCTAACAAGAGGAATAATCTACAAGTGACTGGAGTGCCAGAACGGGGGGATAGCAGAAAATACAGAGAGAATTGTTGAAGGTTTGTTGGCAGACAACATCCCTGATACCGTGAAAGATGACAAGGTATCTATCCAAGATGCTCATCAAACCCCACATAAGGTAGATCCCAAAAGAAAGTCACCAAGACCTATTATAACCAAACTTGCCAAAACCAAAGATAAACAGAGAATTTTAAGAGCAGCTAGGGATAAACGAAAAGTCATCTACAAAGGAGAGTCAATAAGATTAAGTCCAAACTACTCAGCAGAAACCATGCAGGCAAGAAGGCAATGGGATGACATATAAAAGGCCTTGAAGGAAAAAAATTGCCAGCCAATAACTATATATCCAGCAAAACTGTCTCTCAAATATGATGGCAAAATTAGGGCTTTTCCAGATAAACAGAAGTTTAGGGAACCTGCAAAAAACAAACCAAAATTACAGGAAGTACTAAAGGAAGTCCTCTGGTTAGAAAATCAATAACATCACATAACAACCCAAGACTAAAAAACAGGACAGAGCAACCAGATATCAACCCAGATAAGGAAATCACAAAAATGAATCAAAGCTAAAACACTGAAAATAGGGAAACAGAGATGTCAATATGTAAAAGATGACAATATTAAAACAAAAAAGAGGGACTAAAAATGTAGTCATAGATTTTTCATATGGAGAGGAAGTCAAGGCAATATAAAGAACTAAAAGACTTGTTTAAACTTAGAAAAACAGGGGTAAATATTAAGGTAACCACAAAGAAAACTAACAATCCTATATCAAAAGAAAAAAGAAAAATATAAAGACTCAGAAAATACAAAATCAACAACAATGAAAACGATAAAAAGAAAATACAGAAAAAAAAACAACTCAGCACAGAAATTAAGTGGAACAGTCAACAACACACAAAAAAAGATCAAAATGACAACACTAAACTCATACCTATCAATAATTACGCTGAATATAAACGAAGTAAATGCACCAATAAATAGAGAGTGGTGGAATGGATAAAAAAAACATGATCTGTCTATATGCTGCTTACAAGAGACACACTTTAGACTTAAAGACCCAAACAAACTAAAACTCAAAGGATGAAAAAAAATATATCAGGCAAACAACACTAAAAACAGAGCAGGAGTGG